CCGAGGTGGGTGAAATGAGGACCTCCAGACTGTGGGGGCGATATGCTGACTCTGTAAACCGCTTAGAGAGGGCTGAAAGCCCCATGAAGCGGTATATAAGTCTAACTGCCATTGCTAGCTTGATTGCCCATAATTACTGCTATCAATATGGGAGGTGAGTCTTTATCTAGAGAACTGTGATTCAGCTTCTGGGAGTCCCGCTAACTGTTGATAAAGTTTGCTAATGTCTTGCTTTCGATTCAGAACCAAGTGGTGACCAGATGGACCAATTAGATGAAAAGCTAACTGGTGGATTAGGGACACACGGGACAAAATCTACAGATGGGACAAAATCTACCACCGCTGGTATTCTGTGGACTAATTTCAGCATCCTGTACTTGTTGGAGTAGCTCCAGTCCCATCAGGGAGCACTAGCACTTTTGCTTAACAAATATGAGAAGAAATCAGGCAACTGAACTACCTTCCTTGCTTAATGGAACTATACATCCTTAAAATTGGATGGCATCCCTGCAGGCAGAACTAGCTTAGAATTTTAAATTAGCTCCATGGCTGAGATTCAAAAGGGGTTTGGTAGCAGCTTTCGAGGCTAGCTATTTTTATTTAAAATTCATGGGTGAAGCTAACTTCATCAAATGCATCCACAAATGCTTATGCTTCAAATAAGATTATTAGCCTCGAAAGGTGCTACTCTTTTCGCTCAGAAAGTGCTCTGAATTTTAATAGTCATATGTTGTCATGGTTCTCTTCCTAAAATGTCACCAGTGACCGAGAGAGAACTGTAAAATGGGCAACATCTGCCTTCTGATTCAGAACAGCCTGCAATTTGGACAACGATGTTAATTTTGTAGCAGGCCCGAGAGTTAATTCAAAGATCCAGTTGAACAAGTAACTGTCAACCATGATATTCATCACTTCTGGCGGAGTAAACATTCAGTACGCTGCTGAGTTTCAGCTTTTAACTCGGGACATGGGGCGAAAAATTGACCAGTTCAGATGAAATAAGGGATGAATTTACTCATTAAAGCACAGTCGAGAATAATTATAGCACTAATCCAAGTTTCCTTGGGAAAAGCCTCTTGGAAATTCAAAGTATTATTTAATTATACGTATCCTTTTTATTTTGTCTTGTTTGACCTTATGTACCATCGAAAGGGCAAGCAGTCTATGTAACATTGAAAAACAAAACAAAATAATAATAATGTGGAAGGGCATATTCCTAAAAAAGAAACCATCTTAAAATTCTTACGTCAAACCGTTTGAACGATGCAATGTCCAATGTTGTGTTGTACAGTGAGATGATGTTATGTAGGTGTAATTTAAAAGGAAGCAAAATCCCACTAAGATTAATGGAAGTTATTGCCAAGACACTGTCAGATGGATTGGAGCCTGACACGTTCTCTTCCTAGGGCTGCGTATTCATCGGACAGAATCATTACAGAGGAAGAACAAGAGATTCTAAATAAAAAAGTTTCAACGCCTGAATTAGCGAAAGAAAATGAAGAGTTAAAAGTTGACAGTTTACACAGCGATCAAAAATGTACAGAGCAGAGGCTGGGAAACCATGAAAAGACATCTGACCATCACTGGATATTATGCAAGAGAGCTGTAGAAACAGAATGTGCTGCGCCCTCTTTCTCTACTGGTGGCATGCCGACAGAAGCTATTGATGCTGAAAGTGAGGTAACTATGTCAGGTGAGATTAAAATGTAATGTGTGAATTGTTATCTAAGACATCAGTTTGTGCTTGTTCACTGCCTCAGACAAATTTACAGCTATTCCACAAACAAGATGAATAATTCACAACTGTAACTTGACTCCTGAGTAAATGAGACTTGCATTAGTCAGACTGGACTGGATGGCTAACATTTGGCGTCGTGTGCTGAAAGAGTTCATGTGCGCGTAACCCCCCACATGCTCCACGCATGCACACGCACACACCCCCAGCATTCAACCCACATGCATGCACCCCATGCATGCGTGTCTGGTATGACATGAGCACAGAGGGACTGGGGAAGGATTTTAAAATGAGTATTTGTCTGAAAGGTCAATTTTTGACCCTCAGGGAAAAGGGCGGCATACAAATAAAGTAAAAGTAAAATTTCATAACAGCAAGAATCAAATTGTAATTTAATTTTAGGTCAGGTACATGACCTCCTTCAATGCTGGTAATGCAACTGAGCACCTAGTATTTAGAATCAAGGCCTTGCCAAGATTTTGAAGATGCCAAATAATAATTTCCTAATGGAGACCATAATGGCATATTATCAATATAATTTTCATTCCCGTACAATATAAAAGTCAACAAATGGGAATAGTTCATTAGTAGTGCATTCTTGCAGAACGATTAGCTTCCAAGAAATAAAATTTTGTGCGAATCATTTTTTTTTCATAATTT